AGCGCACATCACAGGGCCCCCACTCTGGTGTGAGCGTTCTGTGATTGCCCTTGCAAGTAAAAGCTGCAGTGTCTGTGTGTTTCTACCTTTAGATTCTTAGCTGAAGAAGTGTCTTTAGAATAAATCTCTTGACAACAGTTCTCTCCCAAAAATCCAGCAACTGGCCTCCTCAGTTCCCAGACATTTACTGACTGTTAAAAGATACTACCCAGTAGTAAATATGGCCCTGTTCCAGCTTTTTTGTGACATATTGCTGACATCAAAAATTCAAATGTACCACCATTGCTACAGTGGCACCAATAGTGGTACATTTTCTCATTTTAAACATTTGATGTTTTTTATGCTCCACTGTGACCAATGATCAATGAAAATCATTGCATTATGTTTTTATTTACATTTTGTTAGAGTTAAGTCTTTTAAAATTGTCATTTGTGCAACAAGAATATATAACCATTGCTTGCAAAATGTTTCTTGCAGCTTCTGTTGTATACATAAGATGAAAGAAGCTGTCTCTTTGCTGTAATTTTCTGTTGCACATTTAGAAACCACAAGTTCCTGTTTTTATAAGTTGCAAGACTGTTCACTTTTGCTTTCTGCATGGCTTGTACACATGTTAGTTTGTGAAAGGGCACACTCTGTATGGGGGCGACTGGAGAGGTTGATTAAAGTCATGCCTTGTATGGTATAGCGAGGGGCCACACACACACCCTTGCATACACACACACACTCGCTCAGATACGCTTCTCTGTCACGTGGATAACTGAACTGTATGTAACCACCAAATGTGAGACGAGCCTTTCTGTTCTTTTTTGTCAGCAGTGGTTTTTTCTCCTTTCTTATTGTTGATTTACAAACACTGGTCTTAACTGAGGCAAATGAGGCCTGCAGTTCTTTAGATGTTATCTGGGTTCTTTTGTGACCTCCTGGATGAGTCATTGATGTGCTCTTGAAACATTTTTGGAAGGCTAGTCACTCCTGGGAAGGATCACCTCTTTTCCAAGTTTTCTCCATTTGTGGATAATGATATAACACATCTATGCCTGGTTCCATTCCATTTCTATCTTCCACTTTTTGACCTCCCACAAGGGTGAGAGTGAACTGCTTGACATGAAGAAGAACTTTGATCTCTGGCCTAGAGTCGTCATCATCAGGTCATGTATTAGCGTTGAAGCCAGGTTCTACTGTTTGAAAACACAGCTCCTGTCTGCTGCAAGATTATTATGCCTTAGTTTCTTTATTTAGTAGCAAAATCCAGTGTTTAGCTTATTCATTTATGGAAACTCTTATTCATTTATGGAAAGCTGTGACAAGAATTCTTCTTGTCACAGCTGCCACCCTGATTACCTGTTTGCCATTTAACACACCAACCCCCTTCCTTACTCCACCTTTCCCTTTTGTTTTGTTATTCTTTTTACTGCCGGCTGCTGGTTGTGCTGAATCCCACGAGACATGCCTCAGAAACTTGACATTTTAAAGAATTAGATGTGTTCCACAAACTCAGTAACTCAATTAATACTCGTAGTGTTTACATTTCTCCCATGTTTTGATGTTCCCCTGTTTCACTTTGTAGTATACTAGCTGTGTAGTTCTTGTTTTTGGTATTGCACGACTGTCAGTATCATTAGTCTTCTATTCACTGTCATGGTGGTGACATAATGGGCTGTATATTTTGACATAGGAACAGGTAGTTTATTTTCCCTCAATAAATAAAAGTATAATAAAAAAAACAGCATTTTATATTTATTCAATTTTTCTTTATCTAATAGTAAAATTTGTTTAATGATCTGAAACATATAAGTGTGACAAGTGCAATAAATAAGGAAGAGGAAATAAGAAAACACATTTTCAGAGTGCTGTACATACTCAAATACAGTGGATGTGAAGACAGATTACAATCCTGTAAAACAGGAGAGATAACAAGCTGAGGAGAGATAACATGCTGCTGTTCGCCAGAATGGCAAGTTTAAGACAGCTATGTGAACAACTGAGTTCCAAGGCACTCTGCTGCCCTCTACTGCCAAAGTGACACACATTCACTTACAACACTGTTTATTTACTGGTATAATGAGGTTCACAATGTGAAGCATACAAGATTACCTGGACAGGTTGCCAATCTGTTGCAGGGCTAACACAGAGTGACAGACAACCACTTACACTCACATTGACCAGTTTAAAATCACCTCCACTCCAATCAAACTCCACTGAGAAAGGCCAGATGATGGATTAGACATTAGGACCTTCTTGCTGTGAGACAACAGTGCTAATCATCATGCTACCTTGGTCCCCCAGTCATCCAGCCTTCACATGTGAATGACATTTGATTAATTTGTGCACTAAAGGATATGTCCTGGTCAAAAATGACTCCAGGGTGTTTCACAGTGCTACTGCAGGTCATCCTGATTGAACATCAAGTCCGACATATTTAGTGAAATGCAATATCCAAGTATTTTTGTTCTTTTACATGCATGGATATGGTTTAACCAATATGTGTCATCGGGTGATTAGAAGCTCTGATGACCCTTTGTCAGTGAGCTGAGGGAGTCAACAGGCAGCTTGTTGGGTTTACTCTGACATTATAAGACTTTTTTAAGTTCCACGTCCACACTACTTGCCAGAACACTCATGCGCCACCTACTGGAAGGCTAAATGAATCCCCATCATTGGCAACAGGGTGTGGAGATGTTCTATAGGTGGAGTGTGAATGCTATACAAACCATCTGGGACTCTCCACCATTTGACGCTAGAACTGAAGAAGCTTCTCAGATGAGAGGTGAAACGTCTTCAAGCAACTTAAAGAAGTCCAGACGCTTTTCTTTCCAAGCTCCTAAGACTACGATGACCTGGATGACTGAGAACCTTCACAGACATATTGCCGTTATGCAGTTATCCTAATTGGGCGTTTATAAAGTCAGCAAAGAGTAATTAGTAATTAGATATGTTACTAATCTCCCTGTGCAATACAGCAGCTGGACCTTTAGCTAGCAACACACTGTGCAAACTGCATACAAGCAGTTTGTTTCTTTGCTGATGTTTGTTGAGCTGATGGCTAGCAAGATACTGAAGTACCGCAACCGCAATTTATGGACACCTGCAGTTGTTCCGGTGTTCAACCAAAAAATAAATAAATAAAAGGAAAAAAGGACAAACATCCCCACTTAAACCCCTGACTATAGCACACAGTTTTGCCTCTTTCATCTCTTTTTATGCGACATCCTCTGGTGATTAATACAGGAACAGGATTGAGTTTCATGTGTTACTTTAAGGATAATTAGTTTGATGTTTAAAGGCCCACAGTGACAAAATAATAACGCAAATGCGTCAAACCAAAAGTAACGAGCCTGTAAGTAAGTAGTAGAAATACAGATATTTGTTTAAAGAATGTAGAGAGTAAAATCAAAAAGTTAACGTAAAGTAAACAAGTAAACTACAGATACCTGATAATTATACTTAAGTAAAGTATGTATTTATACATTGTTACTTCACACTCTCTTGTTATGTGTGTTTTATTTAAAGTAGTTTTAAACAAAGTTTCATGCAACCTCTTAATATTTGTACAAAATTATTTATAACCAACATGGAATTCTGCCGCTGGGCCTGAAGAGGGCAGTATTGGTTCAATGTGGAGTTTGGAAATCTCTGATTTCTGTTTTAAAAACACCACTTAGTACTTTCAAAGATGGTGTGACAAAGCTATCTGTCCACATATACAGTACCCAAAAATAAGACGGCATGGTTGACAAACCATTGTTGGCAAAGATGCATAAGACAGTCTCTCGTCAGCCTCACACATGTAGAGTTTGGAAGTAGAAGTTAAGATCAAGGTAGAAACAGTACAAACCAAAGATAGCCACTTCCTCCTGCATCAAACACATCCTGCATCAAGACTGATGATGATGTGATCTCCATAGCACAATCTTCTCTGTGCCGCTATCGACTTACAGAGAAAGTCTTGAATTCGGCGCAGATTGTATGTTATTGTAAGTGTTTTTAAAAACTCTGCCATAAGGGGTGTCATGTAAAAGACATGACACCCCTTACAAAATGTGGAGCATAATAAACTAAAGCCCTGTAGAGTCCCAGAATGGGACTCTACAGGGCTAGAAGCATACAACGCATAATATTAGTAATGTGCACAATAAAAACAGTTTTCATTTTAATCAGCTTAAGATACATAACAGAAAAGGTGTGCAAGAAACTACACAAAACAGAAAACTGTCTTTTTCTTTGATTGTTTATTAGAATATATTGTGGAAAAAATGAAAACCCTTCTCAGATGATCTATTATACATGTTTTTCTTGAAAGTATTTGCAAACAAAGTCATGCATACAGTGCTTAGATATTTACAAAAGAATTTTACAGCATGATCTTATGCATCTTGGGCCTTAGTATAAAAATCACCCCTGCTTTCCCTTTTTGATGGCTCCATCTGGTGATTTAAGAGGCAGACTGCTACAAAGTCATTTCTCCCTGCATATATGTTAATAGTCTACAGGTTAAAGTACAAAATGTGGAGCATAATAAACTAAAGTAATGTAAAGACTGATTAAAAATAGAAGCTCTTAAATGTAAGTATTTTTCAGTGCTGTAAGAAGCATGAATGTGGAGACAATCAAAAGAGAAGTTCAAAGCTAAACCTGCCACACCGGTTTAATTTCTCTATGTGAGTGATTAAGCTTCTAAGCTGTGTTCTGCTCAGGAGCCTCATCTTCCTGTGACTCCCTCTCAACTTCTTCACGTATTTCCTCATAACCTCTGCTTCTAAACCCTGACATCCTCCTCCTCCTCTTGAATAGGACCACTCCCACTATGGCCACCATCAGCATCACACCCATCACACCAAAAACTACACCTGCCTTTTCTCCATTAGACATTTGACTGACTTCAGGGTTAAGGCCTTGAACAATTTCCTGGATTTCTTCTGTTTTGGCAAGTTTCCACATTTTGGTCTGGCCCACTCTCACCCAGCTGTTTTCTCCTTCAGTCATCACCATTACTGTGTTGGTGGCTTGCATGCTGATAAGTGGACGTTTTGTGAATGGAGGCAGACGAATTGGTTTAAGCTCCCCACCTGTGAACAGTCCAGACTGAACACAGTAGAGGATTTCACAGCCATCACTGATTGCAGCAAGGTGCTGACTGAACTTGGGAGGGCACCTGCGTTGATTACTTGCCAGTGGGTTGGTTGACTGACAGCTGAAGAGACCTCCGAATGGTACTGAGAATCTGGTACCTGCCTCATAGTCATTACTCATACAGATCACCTCACCATCTGAGAAAAAATTTACTGGAATGAAATTTGGGGGACAACTTTTGCTTTTCGTGAGGGGGTTCAGGAGCGAGGGGCTGTATATACCGCCAAACAGATACCCTGAGTTTTCTGGAGCCTGTCCATTTATAGAGCACCAGTAGGTGTTGATGCGAGCAGAACGAACATAGTTGTTGTCTTGACAACGCGTTTTATGACAAGTGAAAAAACCCCAACAGGAATGACTTTCCCTATGACATTCATACTTAGAGTAACTCTGAAGTCTCACCTCTGATCTGAGTAAAGTTGGTGAGTAAGGTGGACGACAGGAGAAATCACCTGTATCTGGGTTTTTCTGGGCCAGGGCATCACATAGTGGATCTGCATCTGAGCTGATTTTAACACACTCTTGGTAGACACCACCAAAACTAAGATTTGTAGCGGGACCCTCACAGGAATTATCATCCATGTTAGCCTGGAAGTTGAAGTTCTTGGAGTTGACATCAACACATCCAGGGCGAGTATTGATCTTGTAGTAGCGCTCTACAGCCTGACTGACTTTAAGAGCAACTTTTCCAATCGTAGGGTGTGGCAGATCAGTGAGAGTGTTGGTGTTTATAAAATAGTGCAGAGGAAATCCTGAACGATCGATGGCAACGAGGTTGTTTCTGGTACTTTCCTGCCACTTCTGCAGAGTGATGCCAGGATAAAAAGTTGTGCCTCCGT